GCGCGCGCACACCCCTGCTACCCCCCCAGCATCGCGAGTGGGTGGAATAGGGGAGTGGATGGAATGCAGTCCCCCACCGATGGGGTTTAGGGAGGGGGGCCAAGTTTGAGAAGCACTGATTTGGAGTAAAAGAAACCTGAAAAGTTGCTGAAACACAGGCTTGTAAGAGGAGGGAGCAAGAGGAAGAACAGCGGACATTCATATTTATCTCTTGGATTGATTTGATCTGTATCTCATTCTTTCATTCAAGATCTCCGGGAGGCGAATATAGTGCTCCCTACCCCATTACAACAACCCTGCCAGGTAGGCTGAACTGAGAGAGAAGGCCTATGAGCTTCCATGAGTGAGGTTGGACTTGAATCTGGGTCTCCCCAAGGCCAATTGAACCCCTTCGCTGCTCCCCCACCCCACTCCACCTTCCTTTCTCAGGGCAAAGCATTAGCCCCTCCGTCAGGGTGGGTGACAGGAATAGGAGTGGTGAGGAAGAACAAGACAAACATGCACAAGTATCATTGCAGGGACTTCATTCTATTGCATGTATTAGGTTCTGAGACACAACAGGATCCATTATTGCAAGAAGCGGGTTTATTTTTTTTATTGGCTAGAAAGAGATCCTGCTTTTCCTTCAGGAGCTCAGAGTGCCCTACAAAGCGTTCCTCCTCCTATTTTCCACATAACAACAATCCTGCGAGGGAGGCTGGGCTGAGCCACAGTGACTGGCAGGGAGCTTGCATGGCGAAAGGGAGGCTAGAAGCTGGGTCTCCTTGTTTATTTAGCCAATTTATAGGGCCACTCATCTTGCCGTCAACTCTGGGTTGCAAAAAATATGACACCATACATAAAAACAGTAGAAAAATGATACAAACCCTAAAAGACGCTAAAATTAAGCTGCACCACTGTGCAGTTGAAACACCAACCCTTTTTTATGTGTGTTGCACAGATGACACAGGCCAAAAAGATGGGGTTTCAAACCCGCATCCCCAGTGGTTGCTCCTGGATCGTAATGAACAAGGGGCATACCGGTGGCAATCAGTAATTTTTATCCAGTTTCAGAATATCACAGATTATGGGATGGCAGGTCAAAAGACTTGCATCAACCAACAGCCCAATACAGATAGTCCTCAACTTACAACCACAATTGGGACCGGAACTTCCATGGCTAAGTGATGTGGTTGTTAAGTGAGTCGCGCCCAATTTTACAACCTTTTTTGCCATGGTCGTTATGCAAATCCAGCTTCCCCCATTGAGTTTGCTTGTCAGAAGCCGGCTGGGAAGGTTGTTGATGGTGATCATGTGATCCTGAGACACTGCAACCGCCCTAGATACATGTCGGTTGCCAAGCGCCTGAATTTTGATCACGTGACCGCACGGATGCTGCGCCAGCCGTAAGTGCAAGGACCAGTCATAAATCACTTTCTTAAGTGCTGTTGTAACTTTGAACAGTCGCTAAACAAATGGTCGTTAAGTGAGAATTACCTGTAGTACAGATGTAACAACCACCTCAGCTGCTACTGTTAGCTGAAAAATTGAATTTATTTAAAGAACTGCAAAAGGCAATCTCCCAATGTAATGAGATTTTTGTGTAAGGCAACAGTTTTATTCATTTCCTTCTAAAGGTTATGAATACAGAATATTAGGAATGCTACAAAACGGAGTATAAAACCCATAATAAATGGCGTAATATCTCTTAAATATGTAACAGTCAAGAATACCGATCCTAAGCACATTTTATAGTGTAACGCTTCTTTCAATTATGCCCGTGCATCACTTCTCATTGCTGTTTGCTCATGAAGGGAAAATACTGTACGTAAAAAATGATGAATGGAAAAGAACGCATCTTCGTGTTATTGGGAAAGTGTCTACGTCTCCATCCTGGGAGTGTCTCCAATTTTATAAGAAGGCGGTACAGTAACAAGACTTGCAAGAAGTCCAGGGTACAAAGTAAGGGAAATTATTACACATAGCAGGGTCATCTGTGTGTGTGTGTGTGTGAAAAGTCAAGGTGGCAGTTGTGACTGTGCAATCCAAGCCCTGACCCCTTTTTATGTGTGACCACCAGCTTGACTTTTTTGATCCCCTTCCATGAATGCCCCTGAATGCGTAGGCAGTGCGAAAGGACAATTTTTAGTTAAATAATCCACCACTCAGAATTAAAACGGTTATCCAAACTGTTCCAATCATAGGGGAGAAATATACAGTATTGGTCTATATTTTTTCTTAATCCGGTGCACGACTCAGAATTTACCAAGACTTGACTAGTCTACAAACACTGTGAATGAATGAATGAATGAATGAATGAATGAATGAATGAATCAATCAATGAATCAATCAATCAATCAATCAACCTGGTCCAATACGGCAGGACCAAGACAATGCCTTCCTGCTTAACCCGGTTATGGGATGAATCCATTTTCAGCACAATACATTCAATCATAGAAAACACCACACATCTGGATTTGGACTACACACTAACACATACACAGTTTTCACACAACACGCTTAACCAGGTTGGTTAAGGCCTAGCATTAGCGCATACATAATATGCAAAACCTGGTTTGTATTCATCCTGATTTGGTTTAATTTATTTGCTCCCCTGCCTCTCTTCACGTGCTCAGGGCGGCAGACTCAGCATTCCCTCGCCCAGATTAGCAGGTTGTGTGAATATGGATCATTTAATCGCAACAGGCCCAACATATGATTCAACTTCTGAAGATGAGCAAAGGCAACCAGGGCCAACCTGCCAACTCAAGGTGTGTGAGCCGGGGCTTATGGCTTATGGCTTTCACCACTAGCGGCTTGGTCAACAAATTACGGCTTAGCATCATGTGCAAATCCTACCATTGTCCGCTGCCCTTTATTGATTTATTGTTAGCTTCTTTTAAGCATCCTAAAGTGAGATTGTATGTTTATTAAGTTTTCTCAGGGGCGAAGAATGTGCAATATTAATAATTGCTGGTTGAAAAGGATATAAAGTAATAGAATCTTCTTTCAATGGACGAGCAAAGTCACCCCTCTTTGTAATGAAAGTGGAATAGAGCCTCTCTATTACAAGCATGTTTTTCCATCTGCAACCATGTTTTCTACGTTTATTTCTTTGGGGGGGGGGTAGGGAAGGATGATAAATGATAATTAAAGCAACGAAAATGACCAGCATTCAAAGACTGATTTGGCAATGGCAGGCTGAGCACAACTTGAATTTTGTAAACAACAACAACCATAACCACACAAACTTTTGGAGTGTCTCACTGGATTTTTGGGTCCCACATTTCTCCAGGGAGCCTATCCTTAACCTGGAAAAATTGACCCAACCGTTCAGATTTGGGGGTACAATGGACAGATGATCAAATGTTTTTCTACCTGCAAAGGAACAGGCTGGTATTCTAGGAGAGGCCACTAGAGGGAGCTCGTCTGCATGTTTTCCATTCAACTCATCCAGGTAGTTTCAGAGGACAAGCGGTAGCAACTGCAGGCAGGTGAAGGTTTCCTGCGCTTCGCGTTTCATATTTTGGGCTCAACTAAAAGTGCACACAGTAAATAAAACACGCGTTTGGGGATGGGGAAACGGAGACGCCCTTTTTGTAGCCGCACAGACCATCTACTACCATTTCCACCATCAAGGCCAGCTCCAGCTAAAGGAACGTTCTTAAAAATGGGCAGGATATTACGAAGTAGGGATATACATTTTAGGTACCCTAATATATAAAGGCAGCCTGATGCTCTGTGGAAGCCAAAGTTGGACTCTGAAGAAGCAGGATAGGAAGAGTATTGATGCCTTTGAACTTTGTTGTTGGAGAAGACCCTTGAGAAGACCGCGGGCATCCAAGAACACAAACTGATGGATCATCAAAGAAATCAACCCAGAGTTCTCACTCAAGGCACCAATGACAGCCTCAAATTATCATATATTTTGGACACATGATGAGAAGACCCAGCTCTCTGGAGAAGTTGATAATGCTGGGAAAGGTGGAAGGAAAGAGAAGAAGACCAGCAGCAAGGGGGATGGACTTGGTTACAGTGGTGATGAGTGCACCATTGGAAGTTTTGAAGGACCCAGCTCCCTTGAGAAGCCCATAATGCTGGGAAAGGTGGAAGGAGAAGAAGAGGATGACCAGCAGCAAGGCTGATGGACTGAGTTACAGTAGCGATGGGGGCATCCTTTGGAGACCTGAAGGACCAGGCTGGAGACTGATCCTCCTGGAGAAAATCTATGTTATTGCTTAGAGTCAACACCAACTTGATGGCACATAATCAATCAATCAATCAATCAGTCAATCAATCAATCAATCAATATATAAAATGGGCATGTAAGGGAAAAAGTAATTGCATACAAATGAGTTGGGTACCCGGGGAAAACTGCATTTCCCAGGGACCCCGGTTCCTGAGGTGCTGCCCTAACAGACATCAAGGAGTTGCAAAGAGAGGAGAAGAGTTGTAAACCATCATCACAGGTGTCATGTTTGCTCCCAAGCCAGGTAAGCGGAAAGGAAGCAATGGGGAAAATTTGCAAGCCTTATAATGGAATATCACCAGTGTGGGTTCAAAGGGCATTTGGAAGGGATTCAGTCTCTCACGCCCATGAGAAGAGGGGTTTGGAGATGAGTTATCCCTGCTTGCAGAGCCTGCTGAGAATAAATGAAATTTATACCTTACTCCAGCACGGTCTTGGATTAAGCATTCCTAAACCTTTTTCTATGAAATGACAGAATTCAGCGCATATTTAAACTGT